CATTCTTCATTTATGGCTTGATTATTTGTTGAATATATTATCTTAGACTTGACTGGTCTATCCAGGCTTGACTATAACATTTATTAGCAAGCAGATATTGATCTTAAGCATTCATTCAAGGTTTGAGTTTTCAATCCTTGTCCCTGCGCATCATATCTATCTTGTTCTCACAATTGGTATCAGAGCTTGAGTGGTTGTCCTTTGAATCCATAAGATCAGATTATAGTTGGTTTGAAATTACCTTGGTACTTCAACCATTTCTCTATTTCTTGTTATCGTGGAATTCGTCATCAAGATGTGTTAAGGATAAAAGTTCTTCTATATACCACTTTTGCTCGAAGTATCTTAACTTCAATGGCTGTTTCTAAACCTCAACAAATGCTGTCAATGCAAATTGCAAATAGTGTGGGTGGCCCTACACGTGCCCCACTGCTAGTTGTGGAAGAATATGATCACTGGAAAGTTAGAATGGAAAGATTTTTACTAGCTAAAGAGAAAGGTGAAGAGATTTGGAGATCCGTCAAAGAAGGTCCTCATATTCTAGTAAAAACAGTTGTGAGAGATGCTTCTGCTCAGCTTATGCACGAAGATGAAATTCGTCCAACTCCTCTAACTGCAGGCGATATTGAGAAGCTGCATGCTGATCAAGTTGCTTTCTCAGAAATGGTGTTTGGTGTTCCTCCTTCACTCTTTGAGCATATTAAATTGTGCAAATTAGCAAAAGAGATTTGGGAAACTCTTCAGGACCTGATTGAAGGTTCGGAAAATATGAAAGACAAGCGTCTCACCTTAGCTGTCAATGACTTCGATACTTTCACTACCACTCCTGGTGAATCAGTGGCCTCAGCCTCCAACCGTTACCGAATCGTGGTAAAAAACATGACTGCTCGTGGGATTGTCTGAACTCCTTTGGAGTAGAATCTCAAATTCATAAACAGTCTAGGCAAAGGATGGGGAAATATGAAATCCTGTCTCCAAAGTAATGGTTCGCTGAAAAAGTTAAAGCTCTATCAACTTTTTGATGAACTTCAAGGACACGAGTCTAATGTTGCTCAAACCATAAGATAACTCTCCGGAGGCCCTCTTGCTCTTGTCAGTTC